CCAATATCGGTTCAGCTGGGATATCTCAATTCCACTTAGAAATATAATTTCCTTGATCATGTATCCATTATACACTGTGCTTTAGAAGGCTCATAACATTATTACCTGTTGTACTCACTCATGCCTTGTGCACCTTGTTGAAAGGTTAAGTGTCTAAATCAGTTTCCTATCCACTCTGGTACATTAAATCCATTATTTTCTAAGGGGAGGGTGTTGTTTTTTTGTTTTTTTCTAGTTCCCGTTCAGTGTGTCTGTCTGTGCTTGGATGTCAGTGTGCCAGATGTGACAGCAATAGATCTCATCCCAGCTGAAATGTTCCACGCTGCGCTGGAGTTCAAATGCAATATTTGATAGCCAGATTTCACCTCCAGGGTGTGTGTTTGTGTGTTGACTTTATACTCAGGGGAGATTGTCACATCTGTGAGTTTGTCCACAGTCGTTGCTGGGTCAGATGCTTTGCCACTCTGTCATCACAGTTTTTCCCCTCCCTTATGTTAAGTCTTTTCCTGCTTCTTCTCCGCCTAAATTTATCCTTCCATCTCCCATAGCTGCCTCTTTTGGAGTGATTATTTGTTTTAGGTTTTTTTTTTTTGCATTTGCTATTCTTATCGTTATTTGTCTTTGACCATTCCTTCTCGCCCCTCCTTTCCCTTCTTCTCTTCCCCTCTCATCTCTCCATTCATTCTTCTCATCTGCCTCTTGCATGTCTCCCCCTCTCTGTTTCCCCTCTTTACCTACAAGTAGTACTACTCTATCCTTCCCCCGCCTCAATTTCTCATCCCCCTCTTTCCTCCCTTCACTTCCATCACTGACCCAATTAAGCATGGGGAGGGACACAGCAGTAGGAGAGTGACGGAGGTAAGGCAAGAAAGAGAGGGAGGATAGGCAGAAAGAACAGAGAGTTTGAGTCAGCAGCAAGAAAACCAGAGAGAGTCAGAAAACAATTGCCACCAACCTGCCAGGACATACACAGTGCATTGTCCGAAGTTCACCTGGAACTTAAACCACCTTTGACAGCCTCAGAGGAGGCGGGGGTGGAGTAGCAAGTCGAAATTCCTGCTGCCACGCACTTACCACTCTCGAAGAAGAAACGAGGAGAATAACAATCTACCTTCAGTGAAGACAGCGGGTGGGGAGCTGTGCGGAGTTAGGATGGCCGAACGCCGGGATATAGCTGGAGACTGAGAGGAGGGACTGAAGACAAAGACATTGCATTCTGGGCTGGAAACTGAGGGAGGGGGGCACAGTTGCCCCTAGGCAAGAGAAAGATTTTTGGTGATAGGAAAAGAGGGAGAGGAAGGGGGAAGGATGCATCTGTTCTTCCAAGACAAGTGGGAGGTGGAGGGGCTGCAGACTGTGGGTATCCTCCTGGTGGTCTGCAGTTCCCTCAAACTGATGCACTTTCTGGGGCTCATCGACATTTCTATGACAGGTAAGAGAAATTATTCAAACGAAAAAAAGAGGCACGGAAAGGGTTAAATTGATAAATATAGTCAGGGGACAGCTGGAAGAGAACACTTACCTGGAGAGGCAGGCGTCTGCATATGTATTCATGGTGGGTTTCTGTGTTTGAGGTTAACATGAAGTAGTTTTAGCCTAATTCTTTCACTGCCTAGCTGTTCAGTCTGTCACACCCATTTATAGTCCTGTGTAGTGTGTGTGTGTCTGTGTGTGTGAGTGAGAGAGATCTTTGTTATGAGGCTTGGTGTATGCTTGGTGTATCTGTGTCTCTCTATCTCACACATAAGTTCAAAGTATTAAAACTGCAGCTCATTCAGTACCTCGTTCATTATAATCAGCCACAGGCTGTACGTGACATTTATTAATGCGATGAGGACCTGCATTTTAAAATATTCTCATTGTTTTGATTTAAAGCAAAACTCAGTTTGTTCGTCATGAAGAGCTTTACAGTGTTCTCTGGAGAGTACACTACAAAGCTCCTGGGAGAGTTTTAGGAAGTCTGAGAAAAGCCACCGTTGTGGTGTCTTCAGGCTTGTCTACGCCTCGGCTTAAAGGGTGCTAATTTCCTTTTCCTTTTTTTTTCTCTTGTGGGCGAGCAGGTTAGGGCATTTTAACATTTTTAGATGGTGTACAGTAGTAAAGCAGATACAGAATGGGGGAGGGAGACAGAGGGGTATTATATGCAATAAAGGAATTAAACCAGCAGGTTGCAGCTATGTGAAATGTGTCTTAACCACAGTGCCACCAGCGCACCCTGAGGCCACACATTTTTAAGGCTGCATGGCAGACTGGGACCGTGCTGTTTGGAACAGTCAAGCTTTTACCAGACAGCAAGGCTGTAACAGTGGAGGCATTTTGGGAAATTCCTCTGCTGCACTGATTTTGAGCATCATTCTCTCTCCCTCTTTTGTTTTTGGGGTTTTTTTTGCCTCCAACCTCACTAACCAGCTTAATTGCAGTTTAGAAGAAAAAGAGGAAGGAGAAGTGGAAAGTAAAGGTAAAGGTCCCCGGACTCATTTGAAACTAAAGGTGCTTGGGGAACTAACCGAACCACTTTTAAAATGTAGCTCTGCACTGCTTCACTCCTAGAGATCATAACTAAAAGTCCCAGTGTTGGACTTGCAGATACACTAAGCAGTACAGTGTTTCCGTAATGCTTGCTGTCTTCCCTGTGGTTCAGGGCTTACATGAACCACAGGGAAGATACATTCTGCATTCCTTGAGAAAGTCCTCAGATTTCTCAAGTTTATGAACTTCCTTTAAAAGTTACTAAATATTGCCAAAAATGTGCTGCCACCATTTTACTAAAAATAGAGCTGTTCTCTTATTTCCTGAAGTGTTGTGATGGTCTGTCAGCGTGCCCCGAGGGAAACTATCGCACTCTAATTGCACAATCACTACAGGGCATGCTGGGTAAGAGCATTGTGATGCTGCTCAATAAGGAACAGTGTTTTTTTTTTTTACTTTTCTGCCTACTCAGGCCAGAATGAAATAAGTTCTGGTCTCATTGTCAGTGCCACTCAAAAAACAATTTTAACTTCAAAGGCTAGAGAACAAATATCACATGTCACTTCAGTAGCTCAAGGAGTAAAGTAACCTACTTGTTTTTGACATAGGACTCTGTTAGTATGGAGGATATTAAATAGATAGATAGATAGATAGATAGATAGATAGATAGGTGTGCATATTAAGGTTAATGCCTCTGAGATCAAATATCTCTATTTCAGGAGAATCGTATCCATGACATCTAAAGCACATTTACTGAGACATCAGAACAAGAAATGTTAACGCCAGAAAAGGACAAAAATACAGACAAAATAACAAAGATGGAGAAAGGGCTTTAAAAGGGAGCCAGAAAAATGTGTCTCTAAACAAGCACATCTAATCACTGACAGTCTCCAGCAGATTTGGCTTTTTATGGGTCTCACAAGTATTTAAAACTCAGTGTTCCATGTGGAGCACAGGCAGTAGATATCACAGCATTTTTTTTTGTTCATTTCCGTTTGTTTGTGTCTCTGTTTTGGCCTTCATATCAGTATAACACATGCTGATAAGTTCAAACTGTAATCTGTAATGCTACCCAAGAGAGTTTCCAATCATAGAAATGTTATGATTTAGCATTTTGCTGTACTAATATGTTGATTGCAATGTTATAACTACAAGAAATGTCTGGTTTTGGAGCACTACAAACAATTTAGGTGTAACTAGTGTTCATACATTGTTGGTATGCTTCTTTACTCTCTTTCAAATTGATGTATTGCACACTGTTGTCACTTCTTTGACACCTATAGTTGCTATTTATGTTGAATATGATGAACTATACTGAGCGATACACGCTGTTAATTAGACTAACAATACTCTATGAAGAAATTACAAGTAGGTAATGAAACACTCATCTCAAGGTCCATTTAATAGCTGTTCTGAAGGTTTCTGGAAGTTAAGATATTAAAATATCATAAAGGTCATTAATTTATTCATTCATTTTATGGCTCCACTTACTCCACGATTAATCTTTTGTGGGTTACACTGGACATTTTCTGACTTATTTTTGCACATTTCACTGGTTGTTAAGGATTTGATAGTTATGTCTGCATTGTTGTCAGCTGATGAACCTGTTTGCAAAAAAAAAACAACACACTTGCCCACAAGCAAACCCTTGTGCCTATGGCTGAGCCTCTGTGAGACTGCTCGATAGAAGAATCTGGTATGCTTGGAGAGCGTGCTCTGCCTGTTCTGGTTGCAAATGATGCCAGAGCCACATGTTGTCAGGAGGGCCAGAGCCCCTGACGCTCCACAGAGCAGAGAGATAACAGGGTGAGACATAACAAAGGCGAGATAAATCAGTGGGGGTGCTGTGGTTGTGTTGGTTTTCAGTCCATCATGTCCTACTTCATCCCTCAGACTGCTGGGGTCCTCCTTAAAGGGATATGTGGACTTCTTTGCAGTAAGTACCCAGGTTTATCTGTGCCAATGTGTTTTACGTCTACTAATATCCATTTTGTGACACACAAAACAATCTCTGGTAGATGTTATGGGCTCTGGCTGGGGTTGTTTTTCTGTACACCCTTCTTGCAAATTGCTTTCCATTACCACCAGTGTGTGAATGTGTGTGTGAATGGGTGGATGACTGTGTATAGTGTAAAGCGCTTTGGGGTCCTTAGGACCAAGTAAAGCGCTATACAAATACAGGCCATTTACCATTAAGTGGTTGTTTAACCTGAATGTGAGTACAATGCTGGTTTATGTTTTGAATTGGTATACTCGGCACTAATATTTCTAAAGTCAGTGTACTGGATATGGCATCGTGATACAAGTCAGTCTTATGAGGTAAACTGTGTGTTTATTGGGGTGAGCTGAGAGCAGGTGGTACTATCTACAGCTTAAAGTTGGTGGTCTCCCTTTGCTAAGCCAAGTCAGCAGCATGAATCCGTCTGTTGTTGAATCTGTCCGTTGCATGACTTTATAGCCATGTGTGTGTGTGTATATCACAGACTGCGTGTATGTGTATCTAACTCTTGTGCTATGGTTGGTGATTTCAGGTAACCCTTCCACCAGCCAAAGCAAAAAAACCATAAAGCAGCGATTCCTCAAACTGCTGCCGTGCTGCAAGCCTTCGACTACCCCCTCAATCAGTCAAAGCAAGTGCTCTTTCACTCTATACATCTCTGCTTTCTCCTACTTGCCTCTTTAGTCAGTTGAGAAGACTGGCGCAGACGCTCGTTTGGATAAAGTCACATCAAAACATTCAGGCTACTCATAAATCTACATATACCCTTACAGACTCCAAAAACTCTACAACTATCTGGTGTTGTGGATTGTGGGTCAGAGCTGTTTTTCTTTTTGTGATTTGAGGCGTGTGCCATATATTTGGCTACTGGAATGTGTGTGTGTTGGTATTTTTATATACCAGAAATACCATGTTTACAGTGCAGAGGTCAAAGTCAGGTGAAAGCTAATAGGTTCCAGCTAGAATGCAAATGAAATAAGAAATATCTGGCAGTGTCTTTACCTTGAACTTTTTAAATGTCTCTTCCATTTTTATGAGTGATAAACCTCTTCTTCCACTTCCTCACAGGCCACTCGTTGTCTGTAGTGTGCTTCAGCTTTTCAAATGATACTTAAGATGTTACAAAGATGTGTGGACATTTCTAGCGCTAGTAATCTCACAGCTATGTATGGAAAATAGTGTTTGTATTTATTAAAATATCACAATAATTAGTAATGTTCTTCATGTCTGCTGTATAAGATTTAAACTTTATGATAAGCTCAAGATCTGTTTGATAACTTCAGCTAGATATCTTGGCCAGGTCATGGCTACACTGGGGGTTAATGTGGTGTAGATGCTAACTAAAACTTATCTGTCCCTCACAGACAGCGTGGAAGATGACTTTGAGTTATCCACTGTGTGCCATCGCCCTGAAAGCATGGACAAGCTGCAGGAGCAAACTAAGTTTACCAAAAAGGAGCTCCAAGTCCTCTACAGGGGCTTCAAAAATGTAGGTCTGGTTACAGAAGACAGTGAGAAAACAGGGGTTCTAGCTGAATGTGTGCATATCCTGTGCAAGATGGGAATTAATGAGTTTACATTTTTTAAAATGTGTTTTCTTTATTTTTTTTCCCCAGGAGTGCCCAAGTGGTGTGGTAAATGAGGAGAACTTTAAGAACATTTACTCCCAGTTCTTCCCTCAGGGAGGTGAGTTCTCCCAGCAATAAGCACGAAGAGGTCCAACAGTGCCAGTAATTTCATTTATTTCTAAATTAAATGAAAACTAAAAGTTCAAACAACAGTTGTTAATGTTAATTTAGCTTTTTGTCATGACAGTGAAGCGAATATAATTATCTTACTCTAAGTCTACTCGGCTTGACTGAGGTGTGTGCACTGCAGAGAGGCAAAGTGATTTTTCATTTCACAATATTTAGGTTGATGAAATGTTAACCACTCGCCTCCAGTTGTATTTGAAATTATTTTTATATCTACTCTATATTTAGACTGCTGCTAATCGCAGCTGTTCAAAGACATGTTTTGAGGGCACGTGGGTTACAGTAAGCCTCTACCTTTGCAGATTCAAGTATGTATGCACATTTCCTGTTTGAAGCCTTCGACACGAACAAAAACGGCTCGGTTAGTTTCGAGGTAAGCTCTATTCTATTCTTACATATCAGCTTCTTTTGAGGAATAATGGAAAATGTGTGCTTTTCTGAAATTTGTCATCACTCGTGTTTGCACACAAATATGAATTTGTACACCCAGATTAGGCTGTGATAAAGGTTTGGCTTTATTTACTGTGTCAACATTTAAGTATTTAAGTGTCACATTGTGCAACTCTCATAGACAACATTTTTACAAATGACATTGAAAATAAGACTGTAAGTGGACTCCTGATTAACGATATAAGTGACCATCTTCCAATTTTTACAATCTATGATAGGAATTACAAGATCAATAAAATGGACAGTAAAAAAGAGTACAGACGAGTAAGAACAGAAGAAAGAATGAATGCATTTAAAAAAGATTTATTTAAAGAGAACTGGGGTGAAGTATATCAGGAACAGGACGTTAATAGTGCTTATAATGAATTCCTTAGAATATTTACATTACTGTACAATACCAACTGTCCAATAAAGCAATATAGTAGGAAAAATAAATATATGGACTGTCCATGGATAACAAAAGGTCTGCAAAATGCATGTATAAAGAAAAATGCTCTATATAGAGAGTTCTTAAGAACGAGAACTAAAGATGCTGAAATCAGATACAAAAGATATAAAAATAGGTTAACTAATATACTTAGATTTAGTAAAAAGGAATACTATATGAAGCAATTAGATATAAATAGAAATAATAATAAAAGATTATGGAAAATCCTGAACAGTGTTATAAAACGTGGGGCTGGACAAAAGAACTATCCCAAGTATTTCATTTGTAATGACCATAAAGAATACAATATGGATGTTGTGGCAAATAGTCTCAATGAATTCTTTGTAACTGCTGGACCAAATTTAGCAAGAACAATCA